AGACCCGCCGCACGTTCGGAGGGCTGACCGTCTATTTAAATGAGCTCATTGGAATGGGGAGAAGTTGTACTACACTGGGTTTCCTGCCTAACCAAAACCTGCTTTGTGTCGCTAACTTACTGTGTCAATTCATATGACACACGGAGCGAGCGGGTCAAAGGGCAGGCTCCGCTGTTGACTCATTTCTTGCTAGGTAGGTTACGGTTAGTCAGACGGCAACTTTTACTTCAGCAAAAGTTCTTATTTGCAAAATAGAGAAACGTTTTTATGCCGCTGGCTTTCAGACAGTATTTTGTCACCTTTTTTTTTTTTTTTTTTTAACTGGGTGAAAAAGAGCAACAGTTCTAGAAGAAGTTTTGCTGTCAAATTTGTTTTCTCAAACTGGGAGAGGTGCCCACGGAGCCCTTTGGCTGGCGGTCGGATCTGGGAGAGCCTCCTCCAGATGGGATGGTGTGCGGCTGGAGGACTTCTTGTTATGCCACATAAATAGGGCTTGGAAAGTAAATTAGACACCTAACTTTCTCATAGGAGTAGTTTCTCTGACTTCTCTTCCCTCTTTATTTCCAGCCCTCGCTATTTGCCTCTCCCTGTTTTCCATGGTCCTGTCTTGCTGTCCATCATATTTAAAACCAAACAAAAAACCCAACCCGCTGAAGTGCTACAACACTTCTGGTTTCTGACAAACAAGAGCACGGCACTTGAAAACATTGTCTGAATAGCGTAGGCTAGTTTTAGCTAGCTTTTAAACTCAATTTAAAAGGGCTGAGCTGCTTCGCAGAGCCATGGTGTTGTCTGTGCAGGACCTTTGTTCCAAGAAGTGCTCCAGGAGCCCATGGTGCAAGGCATCTTCTCAGGGTAGGGTGCAAGCCTGACAGCGCTTTCCGTGAAGCGATGACAAATACAAAGCAGTTTGCTCGGAAGCAAACTTGACGTACTTTCTCCATGAATTAAGAACCTGTTTACATAATTTGGAGTTTTATCTCATGTTGGCTATTTAAATATTGTCCTATTGTTCTTGTTCCGTGACTGGATAATTTATGTAGCTAATCATCACAGGAAAAATTCAGTATGTCAGTTTGGTGTTTGTCGGTTACATAAATCAGCAAGTGGGAGAATGAAAACAATACTAAGTGAGTTACTGAAGTAACTACACCAGACAAATTGCAGATTGATCGTCCTGCTGGGAATGCTTGTGTATCAAAAATATGCATTGAAGTTTGGGCAACTTAAATGAACTTTAAGGATGTTGGAAATATTCATAAATAGGGGAAGGAAAGAATAATTTACCATGTCAGCTTTGGCTGAAGTTTGGAAGTGTGGAGAAAGGTCCTCCTCGGCTCCGCTCCCCCAGGTATTAAGGGAAACTTGCACATGCACACCTTTTTTCTTTCTTCCTGTGTTGTGGGGGTTTGTTTGTTTGTTTTTTAAATGACATTAATTCCTTCTGTTTCTTTCCTTGTGGGTATAACTCCAGCTTTATATAGTTTTATACTTTCACAGGCACACTAGTGTTTTAGGGCTGACATGGTTTCCTTAGACAGAATCTTTGAATTATGGGTGGTTGTGACATCAAAATTTTACTTTTGACATTTAGCTTGTTTTTACTATTAAGGTTTTTAGTTTTGATGTTATGAATGAGCAAGTTTCTTCCCCCCCCACCTCCCCCCAGTTCAAAACACAGAAAGATTAAGGAAGGCCTTGTTTTTCTTCTATAGTTTCTAGAAAATGCTTATGAAAGCCAATGTAACTTCACTTGAAATTAGTATTAAATTGTACTAGTTGAAAACAGGTGGTACCTTATTTGGATTTATATATAGTCTGTAAGATTCCAAAAATTTCTGGTGAGCTTAACCTGGTGAGTATTTAAAGTGTGGTTTTCTTTGTACTTTGCAGTACTGTTTGTTTCCTCAATGACTTGTATATCCTACCAAAGGAGTAGATTTGTAGTCTGCCTAACTATTGAACACTTGTTTGTTTGTTTTAATTTTATTTGCATACTATAGCTTCATGTTACTAGTAGCATGCTGTATGTATAAAGTGATAATCAAATTTTGAAATGTTCCTTCCTTTGTGTTGAAGGAAAATCAGTTACCTTGTAAATCTGGAGACTTTGCAGTAAGTGAAGCATAGAACACACACTTCCATAGGTTAAAATATGAGATGAAAACCATGAAGTTGAAAAAATAATCAGGATGCAAAGTGATACATTTCAAACAAACGAAGAAACCCAAACATTAAATGATCGTGATTCTTTGATACAGAAGTGCAATCAAGTTAAAGAAGTCCATCTCCTGATAAACTGGTGGACTCTTAGACACCTGATTCTTCCCTTTTCCTTCACTTTGGATTTGCACTCGGGAAGGAAAAAAAAAACTTGGGGGTGGGGGCAGACACAATTTTTCCCCTTCTTCTTTGAAGTGCAATCAAGTTAAAGAAGTCCATCTCCTGATAAACTGGTGGACTCTTAGACACCTGGTTCTTCCCTTTTCCCGCACTTTGGATTTTCACTCGGGAAGGAAAAAAAAACTCGGGGGTGGGGGCAATTTTTCCCTTTCTTCTTTTCTTGTTCCGTTAGTTTTTATTGATAGATCTGGAGTGAGCTATTAATTTATAAAATCTATAAGCAGTTTCTCCCAGGAGGGAGGCATCAGCATGTCAAGAAGTAATTAAATAACCCATTGCTTGAGTTGGGTGTTTTAAGTTCTTGCTTATTGACCTTTTGCCCAGCTGCTGGATAGTAATCCTTGAAGAAAAGTGTTGGATGCATACCATAGCGAGCAAATTTGGACAGTATTGGCATTAGATAGAAGCTATCTGATAACATGCAGCAGATAAAAGGTTGCCAGGGGAACAAGAAAATGAAGGTTTGCAGGGAAGAATTCCCCTAGGAACAGATCATTGGTGCTACTTTTTGTTCAGCTGACAGAAAAGCTACAGCTTGACAAGTTAACACTACAGGACAAATCTCCTGTATAGGAGGCTTTGCCATGATTCGTAGTAAAGACAGTTAATGTAATAAAAAGTGTTGGAACCATAGAATGCTGGAGCAGAGTCCTTTAGGGATTTAGGAGGCTGATTGTTCTTCTCTTCTTACAATTGTAGGTGTAGTTGCAATATCGGGCAGTGAAACGGAGGATGATGACACTATGGATGTCCCACTGGATCTTTCCTCGTCTGCTGGCTCAGGCAAACGGAGGAGACGTGGCAACTTGCCCAAGGAATCCGTGCAGATTCTTCGGGACTGGCTATATGAGCACCGATACAACGCTTATCCTTCTGAGCAAGAAAAAGCGCTGTTGTCCCGACAAACACACCTTTCCACACTACAGGTACTAAAAAAAAGTAGTTCTCGCTTCAAAAGGAGCTGTTTTCTGTTTTCTTCCTAATTTACGTGTGATCTAGTCACCGATACAAATGTTTACACTGCGTGTGAGATTTCTTTTTTTATTGTTACTCACTGTCCTTCTGACAGCACTTGTAAGGAGAAATAAAATGAATTGTGTTATGATGGTCTTTGTTTACCGGGAGTAAAATTGCTTCTCTGGGAGAACAGACAGTTACGAATTCGAGCGTGCTTGCTAATTTTTGTGGAATTGGGCCCCAAAAGACATAAAGTGTCTGTATAAGGTAATTTATTGTGAGAGGAATGTATTTGTCAACAGAGGTTTCATGGTGATAGATGTGCACCTTAACATACAACTCCTTTCTTCTAAAACTACAACTTGAGGCTTGTTCCTGTAGCACATGCACATATATAAGGATGTGTGTGATGAGTTCCTTTAAGATCAGTGGAACAACTTACATGGATTAGAGCTACTCAAGTGTGTTAATACAGGTATGATGAGGCTTTGCTGTGGTTGGTTTGGATTCTGACCCCCGGATACCACTGGCAGCTGTGAGGTCCCTTGGATGCATTGTTCTCGTCTTTGGTGGAAAAGCTATTGACGATTGCTGCTTTCCACCTCCTGGGAAGGCGGCTGGATGAGAACTTGGGTAAAGCCTGGTTTGGTTTTGAGAGGCACTAAATATAGAGCGCTCCCGTTGACTTCTGGGCTTTATTTTTCCAGATTAATTCGTTAGTACAAATTTCGTAACTGGCTATAAAGTAAAATTTCCTTAATGTAACATCATAAGAAAACCTCCTTTATGTAGTAAACAGAAAAAAGTCGTTAAACTATAAACTATCCTGTATCGCCCAGGAAACCGGTTTGATGTTTAAACAAGGACAAACTTAAGTGAGGTAATTCATGTTATGTCTGTCGACACAGTCAGTTGAACAAGGAAAATCAGTAACTATTTGTGGGAGGAGTGGCTCTCTTCAGAGAGAAAAGGTTTTCCTGTTGTTAATTAACCTAAGCGGAGGGAACAATAGCCAATAGGTTAATGTGTGTGCACAGAGTTAAAAGCTAAACCCCTCCGCTCGGGCCAGCAGTCTTCAGATGTCCCGGGGCTTTCTGTCAGAGGAGTGGGGAGCCCGGGGGTAGGGCCTTTGCCAGGCGAGTCAGAACTTGTCACTAGGTCTCTTTTGTTCTGCAGTTAAGGAAACCGCTTGGAGGGGTTCGTTAATCTAACCCGGCGACTCTAATGGCACGTAGTTGGAAATGAATGAAGGTAGAAATTAAGATGTCGTTATATTCCCAGGTCTGCAACTGGTTTATCAATGCACGCCGCAGGCTTTTACCTGACATGCTGAGGAAGGACGGCAAAGACCCAAATCAGTTCACTATCTCGCGGCGAGGGACCAAGCTTCCCGAGGGGTTCGTTAATCTAACCCGGCGACTCTAATGGCACGTAGTTGGAAATGAATGAAGGTAGAAATTAAGATGTCGTTATATTCCCAGGTCTGCAACTGGTTTATCAATGCACGCCGCAGGCTTTTACCTGACATGCTGAGGAAGGACGGCAAAGACCCAAATCAGTTCACTATCTCGCGGCGAGGGACCAAGCTTCCCGAGGGCGGCCTGGTGGAGTCTTCCCTCGGCACAAAGAACTACATTCCCTTGCTGGAGGAGTCCGCCTTCCTTCCCGCTGCCGCACCGCTCGGCAAGACTGTGTCCTCCTCTCCCAAGGCGGCTTCCCCGGGATCGGTCCTGGCTCGGCCGTCGGTGATTTGCCACACGACTGTGACTGCGTTGAAAGATGCCCCTTTCCACTTTTGCCAGCCAGCTGACGTAGGCCAGACCACGGACCTGCAGCAGGCCCCGGCCAACGGCTTCACAGACAACTCCCTCTCCTACCAGGAGGACGCATCTAAACTGGGACCTGGTGCAAACGCACAGAGCGGGCTCTTTAACACTCCTCCTCCAACCCCACCAGACCTTAACCAGGATTTCAGTGGATTTCAGCTACTGGTGGATGTTGCACTCAAAAGGGCGGCAGAGATGGAGTTGCAGGCGAAACTTATGGCCTAAATCCCCTTCCTTCTCCTTCCCCGTTTTGTTTTTCCAGGCAGGGATCTAACAGCTGTGTGGTTATTGCCACCCACACGATATCAAAAGACTTCACTGCATTATTATTATTTTTTTTTATTAATCTTATTTGCACAAGGGATTGCTGAAATGAAGCTTCCTGTCACTGAGATGGTCTTCAGTGGAATACGGTCATTCCAAGAATTATAAACTTAAAGCTACTGTAGAAAGAAAGGATTGTGTGTTGTTTTGTTGGTGTTTTTGTTTTTTTTTTTTTTTATTTTAATGTTTTCTTTGTAGGTTTTTCATAATGTGAGATGGTTCCCAAGATCATGTGATTTGTTTTGTTTCTTTCAGACTGTGCAATATCCAGTGATGATATAGAGTCTTCTTATCATTCCCATGCGGAACAGAATATACCGACACGCTGTCTAAAATAAATTTTCAATTTTTTTAACAATACAAACTTTGGATGATTATGCTTTTTTCCCATAATGTAATAAAATATTTTCTTTAAAAATGGATGCATACAGAGTATTTTGTTGAATACGAACTTCGCAGAAAACACAGCTTTACTCTTGAAATAAATGGAAGTGAGAAATATTTTTGAGCTCATACTGACTTTGTTTGGTTTAGAGAGCTATGCTAGCAGTTGTTGTTAACCAGATGTTCAAAGGAATGCTGAAAAGTGGGCCAGAAGTACCTGACCGTGTTCTGTTCTATTGAAATTTCTTTAAAGGGGCCAAAGGGAGCTGTGTAGGCAACCCTCATTAGATTTCGGGGGGATATCTTAGGCTCCTCCAAGAGTTGCAGCTTTTGGCTCCTAGAAGTACTTCAGGGCTGGGAGATGTGAGAGCCCATGGGGAGGTTCTCCTGAAGATGGAAAGAGGAGGCCAGAAGAGGGGTTGGGGTGAACATTCTTTGCCGGTCTTTGCAATACAGCTGCTAGGCGTCATTGGTGAGAAATTTTGAGGAGCTCCCAGTCTTACTCTTCTTGAACTAGCAATGACAAGGTTTTGACTCAGTAATTCTAGTAGACTGAGATAGAAGAGACTGTTGGGTTGAAATCTGAGTTCTGGGAGCCAGGTCTTGGCGAGATACTTAAAAAAACAGCTGGTTGATTCAGATTTAGAAGAGATCCCTGTTGTATTGGAGTGTATTTTGGCCAACAGAATCTAAGTTACCTTTCAGAAAAGGACTTTGCTATCAAAATGACTTATTACTGAAAAATGTGAGGACTGGCGGCTCACGTTTCAACTTACTTGGATGTCAGTCACCCACCCTGATCCTTCCAACAACAGTGAAATAAGAGACCTCTTGGGGGAAAAAAAATCAGTTGCGGCTAATCCTTAAAAATAAGCCAGTTGTCCGTTTGGGAGGTTGGGGGAGGGCTTTCTGGAGCAGGAGGGCTGACCAGTTTAAGGGCATTACTACCAGTGGAAGACTGCAATGTTCAGACTGCAATGTGCATGCATTTTGTTTTGCTGTGGCCTTTATTTTTTTAGTTTTTATTTTTTAGTTTCAGAAATACTCTTTGTTTGTTCTCTGGAGTACTCTCTGGAATTCTGAACTTCTGCCTTGCTTTAACCTTCAAGTTTAAAATCAATGAATGTCTTTTTTTAAAAAAGGCAAATAGTAAACACTGTGGCTTGCTCACGACTGCCTTAGCTTCAGTAACAGAGTCATCCTAATATACTGTAAGAATATACAATTTTTTTTTTTAATACTTTTTGTTGAAATAAAGCTAGAAAAAATAATTTTGGACATAGCCAAAGATGGCTGTGTACTTTGTCTTCAAGGAATAGCATGTGAATCCCGAAAGGGCCTTGTGTCTCGTCTCTTTGGACACACTGTACTTTATACTCCTAGGCTATTTTTCCTGGGATAGCTAGGTATGTTTTTTTAGTTGTTTGGTTGGTTTTTTTAACTGGCTAATTACAAAATAAAATGGAAGTGCACTTTTGTGTAACTGAGGTCAATGTTGAGGGAAAAGTTGGTCAATAGGCATCCTTTTGTGGCATAGATGATTGTTCTCAAAGGGGTGCTAGACACGCAAAGAGGAGTGTCATCTTCGATGAAGGTTTGGAAGATGCTTCCTTGTCCACATGCAGGAAGGAACTTTATTGCGACACTTCTTACACCCACGCCTCAAGCACTGACGAAGGAAAAACAACCTCATACAAATATGTTTGCATTGTTTGATTTGAGCTGTTTGACTTTTTCATCTTTTTTTTTTCTTTTTTTTTTTTTTTTTTTTCTTCCAAGCAGGTGGCTGGCGTGCTGTGGGGTGGAGAAAAAGTGAGAGACTCAGATCATTAAAGGGCATTCTCGGAGATCTTTACTCTTCATTACTCTGCCCTTTAAAATAAAAAAAAAAGTCAGTGAGTTTAGAAAAAAACCCCTGAGCTCTGCTGGCTGAGATGACCGGTTCTGTAATTCCAGTAGAGCAGCTGCAGGACTGAAAATGAAAATCTGACAAGGAAGAAAGCTGTTGCCATTCAGGTTAACAGTTTTCATTGAAAGTAAAAGCCTGTGGTCTCTGCGCTGTTTTCACTTACCATTATGCCACACAAAATGGCATTAGTGTAACTGAGCACCAAAGTCCTGCCCGTGTGATGGGCGCTGCATTTCCATTTTGCTGACTGGCTTACCCCGGGGACTTCACTTGTGACCGGTTTTGCTTGGGGTCATATTTTATTTTTTTATTATTATTACTGGTGTTAAAGTTACACCTAGAAGTTCAGGTGTAGTCATAAGCCAAACCCCTTTGGCTGAGTAGCACCTGGCACATTGTGTAACAGCTTTTCCCTACCCTGCGGTGTTATTTAACTTGGAGGAAGAAAATGACTCGTATTGATTACCCACTGAAGTAATACCGAGTGGGAGTTTCTGCTTTCCCGTAATCTAGCACTGATAATTTTGGTGCGGGCTATTGAAGTTTGCCTGAACCTCTTCTTTCAGAGCAGAAACTTGAAGTAACTCCAGATAAAATTATCAAAGGTAGGTAGGTGTAGGGCATCAGGTGGAGCTAGGATCCAGAACTTCGCAGGAGTCCTAGTACCAAGCCAAAGGCTCCATGTGCCAGCCACTCATCCCTGGTAGAGCAGAGGAAAAGCTTATTTCTGGAAACTCGTTTTACCATGGAGTAACACACACGCAAAAAAAAAACGGACCAGGCAAAAAGCAGCAGAACAAAACGATGAGACAACACGCGCAGTTTTCTTGTTCTTGCAGCAGTGATAAACTAATTGCAAGGCAACGGTGTCAAAACCTGACCTCTGAGTGAAAATGCACGCTTAGGCTGGCGAGGAAGAGGAAGGGCAGGCACTGCCCTGCGTTGCTGGAGACCACACGGCCAGCCAGGCCGTCGGCGAGCTGGGAGGGAGGGCAGATCTGTGCCAGGGAAAACGGCTCGCATGTGGACTTCGTCAACCTTGTTTTCTTGGCTTTTGTGTCTTGTAAACAAGTTGTGGCAGCTGCACGTGATAAATGTCCACGCAGAGCAAAAACAGTGACAATGAGGAGGGAAGTTTGAGACTGGCGTCGCTGGCTGTGTGCGGGGGGGGCTTGTGGTATCCCGCATCTCTCCTGGCCTCTGCCGTGAGGTCAATGTACGCGTCTATAAAACCGTTGAGGCTGTAACAGCTGGCGTCATGTGCTATAGGGGAGGGAAGGGGCGCGGGGAGAACACGAAGCTGGGGTAACTCACTTCAAAGCTGGGATGGCTGGCTCTGGGAGGGCAGCGCGGCCGGTCTGCCAGCTCCCGGGTGATGCCAGCTCCGTGGCCGGAGGGATGCTGCTGCCCGGGCAGGTGGGGTGCAGGCAATAACCTCACTGGAAAAGGGATGGCAGGAGAAAGTAAGCAGAAAGAGGGGAGAGAGAGTGTGGGGGGTGGTGGGGAATGCTCACGGTTTTCCCCTTGGAGAGGAGGGAAGCCCAGCCGGCCGAAGGTGCCGTGCGGCTGGAAGCCGGGGTGCACCGTGACCCTGTTCAGGATCACTTTTCCACCTACGGTGTTTGGGGCATCAGCAGTTGACTGTGTGCTGCGTGTCGAAGTCTGCTTTCATTCGTCGTTTTTCTCACAGCTTACAGAGTTTTCTTGTTAATGCTTAAAAACTGTTCCTTAAAAACTCTCTTAAAGCTCATTTGGGTTTTCTTTTTTTCTTCCTCTTCTTGGCATCTTGCAGCTGTCAACTTCCCTCCTGGCTTTTGCCAAATAGGGATTACTGGCACGAATACAGCTCATGTTCACTTTTCAGGACATTACTTGCTCTAAGTCTCTTGTTCACCAGTTGCCAGAGTTGTTACGTCTCGATCCTGTTTCGCTGGTTCAGCGGGCTCTTCTCCCATGAGTTCCAGTGTTCAGGTCGAAGGAGAAGAGATTAGATTAGCCACTCTCTCTAGCAAAATGTCACTTAAAGCTGTTGCTGTTCCAGACATAATAATTGCATCCACGTGTGCTGTATGTGGTTCAGTGTCTATTCCAGTCCCTATCACAACAATGAGTGCCTGGAGCTCTGCACACACAGAAAATCACATGAAGTGAGGCTAGCTGTACTACCAAGTCAAAACTCAGACTACTTTCTCCGTCTAAATTTTGCATTGCTGACACCTCAAAGCCATGGCATTTACCCATTTTGCTCGCCTTTCCCTTCAAAACTGGCTTTACTTGCCTTAAAACTCCCTTTTATTTCTGAAGCTTTCTCACACCTTCAGCTCCGAGGCATCGGGTCCGGGACTAAAACTGGCAAGCATCACAAGTCCTGGTACGGAGGCTTGCAGACGAGGGTAGCTTCCAACAACAGATCAACTTCACAGCCCTTTGTAGCGCTGCGATGCCGCCTCGCCGTGTGACGTGAATCCCGGTTCCTGAAGCTGATGCAGAGATGAGTAAATCACAGCTGCCTCCCAGCTAATCCCGGTTCTGCCAAATTTTATGTGTTTCTATTAACAAACAAGGTGTTGATCTTTCAGCCGCTTACACCAATGCGTAATAAACGTGCAAAGATGCACACAGGTAGCAGTGCTTTGGATTAGTGACTTAACACGGGGGCAGGTGGGAGCCTGAGGGTTGAATGGGTGCAGGTGACAAGGACCTAACCCTGTTTGTTCTCGGACAGCTTCTCTGGGACCACAAACCAGGGCTGCGGCTGCTTTCCCTAATTGCAGCCTGGGCAGTGCCTGCCCCGGGCAATGTGCCCCGTCTGCAGGTGTGTAACAACGTGACCCTCGGAGCGAAGAACCGGGGGCATATATTTTTCTGGGCATTGTCTGGGCATATATAAACCCTGCACGTGGTTTTTGTTGTGAGCCTTTCTTCGTGGCATTCAGCTGATGATGAAGAGGATTGACCTGACTGCGGGGAGAGCAGGGCAGCCCCGGTGCTGTGAGTTTTGCAGTAAGCATATATGTTTGTATGGCTTCTGGGAGCCTTTCTGTCTCCGCACCATTCCACGCTGCTGGGGAGATGCTGGCAAGTGTTCCTGGAGCTCCTCCGTCAATGACATCTCACAG